CACTGTCGCTAAAAAAAAAAGCCTAATTAGTTGGTTTTATTTCACAATATCAGTCTTGTCGGGGCTAAAATTAGCCTATAAGCATTAGCTATAGCATTACACTAGCATAAAATAATAACAGCCATTATTATTATTACTATTATTATTATTGCTATTTTGTCATTCCATAGAAGTGGGGTATTATTGATAACAGCCAGGCTAGTCTTCCAGCCTACCATACCTGGAACCGTGGCAGATTGAATGATAGCACTTGTCGAATTGGAGGTGTCCACCCGGCTTTTTTACGAACGGGAATTTTACAATAGTATATAAAAACAACTAGAACAAAAGTTGCTAGGCAACAGTGATGTGCATCTTCAACCGCGGGAAAAAGTCACAAAAGCAGAAATTATACACCGTCTGTAATGCGAACGGTCAATTTGACCGCTTTGGCCATTCAAGGTAGAAATACTCAGAGCTCTTTTGTGTTTTGTAATTTCAATAAAATAACAATGTTATATAAAATATACACATATTTAGGAAAAGTCAGGGTATTATAGTAATATGGGTTTTATTTCAACAAAGTTATTACATTTCAAAATTTAAAACTTGGTAGTTCTAGTGTTAAAAGGCTTCCCTGCAGTTGTCTGCCAAATTAAAAGCTCAAGGTTTTAACTCTTGCAAGTGAAGATATTAAAACTTAAGTATCATAATTTAACTACTGCAGTGTGAAGTAAAATAATTAATATAGTTATTATTTTACAGTGCACTTGTATTACAATAGTATTTTCCAGAACATAAGACATAACTTTTTCATCACCTTGTGCTTAATGTGCTGCAACTTATATACCGAAGGAACTTATATAACGCAATTAACGTCAAGCATGCAAAACATGCAAAGCACACATATTTGGACTGGCGCTGAATGAAAGCGGTATGTGAAAGTTTACTTCAAAAGTGCATTTCCCTTGTGCTGGTAGTTTTTATTATTATTAAAAAAGTTTCCATTTATAATAAATATGGTTTATAATGAATACCACTATAATTTATGCTTGTTTTATACTTATATTTTTTGTTTGATACTTTTATACATACCTTTCAATGCCATTCAATTTAACAGATTTGTTGTGGAGTCAGGGGAACTAAAATACTTATAACAGTATTTATAATGTTTGTAAACATTATTTTATTAACCTATACTTTACATTATTTCTGAATGCAATAATCAATGTGACTTACACAATAGAGACTTATCTGTGCTTTTTTTCTATCAACAATGCAATTTTGACCCATATGCAACTTATTTTCTGGAAAATGTGGTATATTTCTGAATTAGAATATATAGAATATATCTATATGTGTGTGTGTTTGTGTTTATACTATTATCATTAAATTAATTAACTTTAATACTGTTCAAATTTAATTCCTTAATTTTTCTCCCTGTTGCATTGAAAATAGTATACTGAATATCAATATTTTTCTGTTATTGTCTTAAGGTTAGTAATTCCAATTTAGTAACAAGACTAGTTTTTAATTCACAGGTTTATCCATTACAATGTTATTTAAAACAAACACAATTTTTTCCACAGAATTTCCAGAAGAAACAACCTCACAATTTATACCATGTCTGACATAAAATTACTCAACAAGACTAGTTTTTAATTCACAGGTTTATCCATTACAATGTTATTTAAAACAAACATTTTTTCCCACAGAATTTCCAGAAGAAACAACCTCACAATTTATACCATGTCTGACATAAAATTACTTATTTCTTGATATACGATAATTATGGCTGCTAAACAGAAACAGAACACAAACACTCAGTTAACTGCGAACTGGTTAACCGGACTAGCATGTTTATGCTGATTTAGTGTTGGCAGTAGAATGCTGAAGGAAAATACCTGAACAGGGTTGAATCATCAAGATAAATAGAAACTGTCTAATGGCTCGTGTAAGGGCTCACCTTGCCCAGTAAGGAGTCTAGATCTGCCGTTCCTCTGAACACAGACTCAGCCGGTCCGCGTGACAGTGTGCTGGCGTCCAGGTCTGCGTCAGGAGTGGTCACTGTCTTCGCCAGCCCGTCGACCGTTGCCTTTAGCTCATACAGTCTTCTCAGGACCTCATCCTGTCGCTCCTCCAGCGCCTTCAGAGCAGGATCCACCTCCCCGTTCTGAGACCAGCAAGAGATACAGATGAGAAGAGACCGCTTACATGCAATCTGCATGGATACCTTCAAATGTTCACTACAAAACAGCATTTGGTTGCATTAAACTAACTATAACTAAGTGCAAGTGGACCCTGCTATAAATAATAGGAATATCAATTCACCATATCATCATCATCATCACCATCCTTTCTAATATGATCCATCTCCTTCCTAAGTATCTCAGGGAGTCGTTGTTGTTCGTTGCTGGTAAACTGCAGTGTATTAAACTGAAAGTGAGATTCCAGGAAATCCAACATCTCACTGGAGGACCAACCTCTCATTCCAGAGCACAAAGCACTGCAGCTTGTCAATCATCAAAGCCGACATGCATGCGCCCATTGCATCAGACAAACTTGCTTCGGCTTTAGCGACTGTGTATTTTGCGCATCTTTATGATTTTATGCTCATATGTGTGGTTTGAATGGTGAACTGATGTGCTTCCGATTACCTGAAGCGCGTGCTCTCCGCAGTTCATTCCCTGCGCGTGGGTATTTGGTAACTTGTACATGCACGTTGGCAAATCAATCTTTATGTCACCGGGACTGACGGGCTTTACCTTGTACATGGGCATGATGTCGGGTGACAAACGCACTCCAGTGCCAAAATAAAAGCACGCAATCCAGATATGTTAGTTTTTGACGGGATTTGTCGATTTCTCGACAGTCCCTCTAGCAACCAGCTAACAGCAGCTGAGTGGCGAAGAGGCCGTCGTGCGTCAT